ATGAATTTATCCAAAAATCAACAAGATTATCTACTAGATTAATCTTTCAAGGATACTGGCTAGATAATTTTTATGCGATTATTATACTGGTCAAGCGAACCAATCATTCAGGGATATCCAAATCTAGGTCAATAAGGTATTCAAATTCACTAGCCATACTTTAATTATATAATCCTTCTGGGAACTCAAATATATAAGCATAAAATTCAACAGGATATTTGCTCTGCAACCCGCCCGGGCACTTTGCCGCCAAAGAGGCTAAGTAATCTGCCACTAAATTAGCTTCCTGATATCCATGAACTATGTGCACCTCCCACTCACGCTGTAGAAGCTCCAGTATACCCTTCACCAAGCTGCCATGCGGTCCGCCATAACGCTCGTGGGTAATCATCTCAACGACGCTGTTATTATCAACCTCAGCGGTAACTCGACGAGCACCAACATCCCAAGCAAGAAGCAGGCTCTGGAATAAGCCCCAAAGCTCCGCCCCAACAATCGAACAAAAATCAATATTCATCATAAATCCGTGAACCCAATTCCCACCAATAATGATTCTCTTTTAGCATGGAACAATTCCTACTTTATGAAAATATATATATATATATATGTATTTTAACAATGCAATTCGGTTATTATTTTTCATAAATTAATTTTTTGGTTTTTTCTCTTTTTATACGAGTTTTGCAAAAATTTTAGCAAATTAAATACAAATGCATGAATATATCAAAACAAAATAACAAGGCAAACTAAATCGGACATTTTGGTGCGATTCAGTTCTGTGATTTAAATGTATTTTTTTAGTTCAATTTCAATTAGATATTTTCATATGTTGCTGTGCAGTTTAGTTATTTTTTTTATATGTTGGAATTTTTGATTGTTTGTGGTTCGGTGTTGGACCGCTTTGTCGCTCACCCTTGTGATTTTCATATCCTGATTGTTTTTTCACAATTTAAAATCTTAGAGCTACTAGGAAAAGAAAATACAAAACAAAAGGAGTAACACTATAGAATAGGATGTGGACCGGGCCAGATGGAACTTCGAATGTTGTCCAGTAATTTAAGCAAACAGCATTGGGCCATATGGGCCGTAGGTTGTAAGTGGCCCATTCTTGGGTTTCTTGAAAAATTACAGCAATTAATCCTAAACTGTTGTAATATATATTGACAATATGTAAGATCCATGTGTAAGATAGATAGAAAAACAAAGAAAGGATTAGAGAAGAATAAGAAAGAAGAGATACGCCGTTAAAACCCTCATCTTATTCATTCACTTGAGCCCTGTATATAAGGGAATACAATGTACATGACTAAAGACCTAATGAGCTCCTGGCCCATACCTACAAAGCTTATATCTAGGTAATGTCCACAAATTAATATTTACAACACTCTCCCTTGGACATTACCGCATCATGTCTATGCCTCGTTAAAAACCTCGCTGCAAAACCCTGTAGGAAAAAGCAGTCGAGGAAAAGAGTACATATATATGCAAAATTATGTGTTACACATGCTGCCTCGTTAAAAACCTCACTAAATAAAACCCAATGGGAAAAAAAACTTAGTCAAGGGAAAAAGAGTACAACACCGGCCAACAGTGCCTAATCTTCAGGATTATAATTAACCTTCCGGGTTCGATTTTCGAGATTTATTTATCGCTCCCCCTGAAGGGAAAACCTGTATAGTTACATTCATAATTGTATGTTGCTCCCTTTCAAGGCAAGAGTTTCTAACATAAAATCGTCATTTGTTGCTCTTCCGGAGTTAATATAGATTCAAAAAATATGATCAAATGTATTTTATAATTTATTTGTGTAACACAAACCAAGTTATCTTCTGGATAAATATAGGGAAATTTCAATAACCAATGGTAAAAAGTTAATACCATTTGAGAGGTATATAACCAACTGAGGACCCATACTTCGGGGATCAATTATACAATTGATGTCCTTATCCACCAATATCATATATCAAGTCCAAAGATAACTCAACATACATGAAGAATAATGGGATATTCTCAATATTTATCACGATATCTCTCTAAGGAGAGATTTAGTAAATCTTGCTAGCAAATTCATCACAAATGCAGTATCAGGCCTGATGCATTTTGTGAGATAAAAGTTTAGCACAATTGCGCTTAATAAATAAACTTCATGTCGTTTGTGGACTTCAAGTCCATTAGGACTCCAGGTCCTATAATATTCTCATTTGTTTCTTTGGATCTTTGTCAAATGCCAAATATTTGACACTCATTGGTGTTACAATTTTACATCTCTAAAAGAGATTCAAGTAGA